TGATGACTGAATGCGTAACCGTATGGGACCCCGCAGAACGTGGTGTCTGGACCGCGGGCGCACCGCTCGTAAACGCGGACGCCCGCTGACGAATTGGTTTAGTAATTTATGTTAATGCAGATAAATCGAACCGTATAATTGCAATGCATTGCCAGATATATCAAGTTGGCAGCTAATGCAGACATTTTGCTGGTGTATATATACTTTTTTTAGAAAATGTATTTCCCTGGAATTAAACATTGGATTAAAATTAAAAACTATAAATCAACGTAAATGTGACATGTTAGAATACTATTTTTTTCCCTGCTTTACTCGTTACATAAAAGCATGTATCCTCCATAGATCAGTCGGTTGGCACGTTAGTGTTTCTCTTTGCATTAACATTGCAATTGAGGGCTCATTTGTTTTTTTGCTTCAATCCGTAGTCATCCGCTGACTTGTTACTGGCCCTGCTGGTGACCAATTACAGCTTAAACTATGAACGGTAAAGGTGCAGCCATGCAATTGCTTCTCATGCCACTGTTAGGTGGAAGGGCATCCGTCGGAGTGCCACTCAAAAGAGTGTATGTTATCCTACTGTTCCACTTTGGCCAGACGTTTTAGTGAGTACCCACACTTTACCCCACCATACTCGTACCTACCGATCGGCTACCTATGGTGAACCAATTTTATACCACTGGGTGGAAAGAGACTGGGGAATTGAGGAGACTTGCCCCATTATTTCTACGGCCGTGCCACAGAATCGAAGCGAGCCGGTTTGAATGTCCAGTGTGTGAAGCATCACATCGCTGGCAGGTGAATTACAGTCATTACAAAAGTAACAGTGATCGATTTAAATTGAATGATTTTGTTAAAAAAAAACCTTTGTTCAACCAGGTGGATCAGAAGCAGAGTGTGCGACTGACAATAAAAGGTCACGAGTTTAAGTGGAGAGTCAACAGTCGTTCAGGGTGAGCAATATGAGTGGCACTCGCATTAAACTAGATTCGAATAACTCAAAGCAAACAGTTGTGCTTGAGTTATTCACTCTCCCCTGTCTCACTCTCTCCCACCTACGATCTTGCTGACACCAGTTGTGTTCACTTGCCCTGAGAATGGACGCTGGATGCACGAGAAACGATCCCAGCGTGTCAACCTGGTGAAGTGCCGCCACCCCTGACATTCGTGATGAACAGAGCAGAAAAAAATAACCCGTAAAAACAAAGTTTTTCACTATAAATCCTTTATATGCGTGGCGGCTAGAGTCCTCTCGTCCTCTGGCTTGAGATGGCTGCCACCTATGGGTTAGATGATTGCATTGCACCATTAAGCAATTGGTAATTAAATATAATATTTTTGTCCTAAAAAGTGTAAAATTTTGGAAAATATTTTTCACGAAAATTAATTGTCACGCACAACGAGTCTGTGTGCAAAATGTCAGCTCGATTGAATCAACGGGAAGTGGGTTAAAAAACGACCGAAAGATTTGCACGGTCGTAAGCAAGCAAGCAAGTGAACTTAATATAAAGGATTTACAAATGCCCACAGTGCTCTATGGGGCAATGGGTGTTGCCAATCCCTCATTGGCTGGGCTGATGCCAGCGATGGAAATTTCTTACGCTCGTGGCATGAACTAGACATTTAACAGACAATCACCGTTGAGCCGGGTGTCATGGCAAGGGTTTCCACCTGTCCTGGTGTTCCCAGGCGGCAGCTGCTGCCCAGGAAATTCTGTGAGTCTCCCCGGCAACATTAGATGTCATAGCCCACGACCGACGCGGTGAGAGCCGCTTGCCTCCCGGAGCTCTCGCCCGGGCTGGTGGGTTTCGTGACCGGCTGGGGCCGCGTGAAATCGTCGGGGAGGACCTCGAACGAGCTGCGGTTCGTGGAATTGGCCGTCGCGGACGGGGCCGTCTGCCGAGAGGCGAACGACGGGAAGGTGGAGCGAGGAGCTGCGGGCGTTCACGGAGGTCACGGACAGGATGTTGTGTGCCGGGAGCGCCGAGGGCGGCAGGGACGCGGGGTTCGTCGTCTCCGACCTACGGGGAGGGGACATCGCGTGGTTCGTGGTGGGGATCGTGCCCTGGAGCGTGGCGTGCGGCCGGGAGAACCACTATGGGGTGTACACGAGTGTGGCCAGCTTCCTCGACTGGATCCACTCCAGCATGCAGCAGCATTCTTAGAGTACTGTACAGCAAAAAAAAAATCTGATTTTTTATTCTTTATTTATACTAGAGAAATCCGATGAGTTGTAAAGCTCTTTTTCACGCATGTCCAGTAGGTGGCAGGTCAGAACGTTACAACAACAATGGCGTTAAATTTCGATTTAAAGCTTTCGTGACTGCAGGGATTCATCTTCTTGGTTCTTTCGGTAAAGTCACGTAAAAGGGAAATAATAAAATAATAAAAATAAAACATAATTAAATAATTCTCACGACGTTTCGGCCACAACGCAAGCAGCCGTCCTCAGGTGAAGACCAGGTCTGTCGGAAAGACAGCGTCTGAAATGCGTCTGAAATGCTGTCTTTCCGACAGACCTGTTCTTCACCTGAGGACGGCTGCTTGCGTTGTGGCCGAAACGTCGTGAGAATTATTGTATTATGTTTTATTATTTAATTATTTCCCTTCTACGTGACTTTACCGAAATAACCAAGAAGAACAATGGTGTTATATTATCCCTTGGTCTGTGGTGGATACTTCAAATTACTTTGGTCAGTGCCGGTCACTTAATTGAACAACCGCTCTTGAATAAATATCAGACATGTACCTCCCCTTTCCCCTGCTCTTGTCTCTGTGTCGCGCCGATTTTTGTCAGAAATTCGAAACCTATTTACGTATAAGATTTGATCATGCTGATCTGTGGAATTTAAAGTGACATTTTTAATCATTAAAGCAGATACAACTTGGTCGATGTGAAAACGTGTGTCCAGTTTATCGTGTCATTCTGTGTTTTCAATCTCCGTTTTAGAACAAGGATACAGCTATCTTGATAGGAGGGGGAAGTTTCAATTCAGGAGTGGGTTTAATCTTGAAACTCGCCTCTGCTTCTGTTATCGCTTTGTATAGCGACTCAGAAGTCCACGTGCAGGGGAAAGGGGAGGCTACTACATGTGTAGCTACTACATGTGTAGCTACTACATGTGTAGCTACTACATGTGTTGTAGCTACTGCACGTGTTGTAGCTACTACACGTGTGGTAGCTACTACACGTGTGGTAGCTACTACACGTGTTGTAGCTACTACACGTGTTGTAGCTACATGTGTAGCTACTACACGTGTTGTAGCTACTACGCGTGCTGTAGCTACTACACGTGTAGTAGCTACAACACATGTAGTAGCTACCACACGTGTAGTAGCTACAACACGTGTAGTAGCTACCACACGTGTAGTAGCTACCACACGTGTTGTAGCTACTACACGTGTAGTAGCTACCACACGTGTAGTAGCCTCCCCTTTCCCCTGCACGTGGACTTCTGTACTACTACACGTGTTGTTGCTACTTGTGCTACTCGGATAATCCGGCACTGAATCCCAGCGCACGTCTCCCCGAGGGGCGCGTTATCGCACAACGCAAACACGCCGCGCACTTGACTCCCCGCGTCGCGTTCCCGATGGGTTCAGCTATTTTGGGGGTTTTTTTACCGAAATCGGCGGCGGCGTCGGCTGTTTCGGGAAATCGCTGAACTTTCCTCAACGAGAAACTAATCTACAAAAAAATGCCTCCCTAACTCGCTCTGGCCAACAGAGGCACCGCACAGGCTCGATAAAAAGGTCACTTCTCAGCACACAGTAACGCATCTGTCTCCGCGTAGAGAAAATCATATTTTTTATACGCATCCCCCATCTGCCGTGCGGCCTTCTGAGACTGCATAATTGCAGCCGCATTAGCTCAACACTAAGCGACACTCAGGACCATGCTTCGACATTCAGACAAGCCTGCCCGTGCCTGATGACACACTGAATGTTGAAACCGAGTCGTGATTATTTTGTGTGATGTACCACCACCGTAGACATCCGCTGACTTGTAACTGGCCCTGCTGGTGACCAATTACAGCTTAAACTATGAACGGTAAAGGTGCAGCCATGCAATTGCTTCTCATGCCACTGTTGGTGGAAGGGCATCCGTCGGAGTGCCACTCAAAAGAGTGTATGTTATCCTACTGTTCCACGTTGGCCAGACGTTTTAGTGAGTACCCACACTTTACCCCACCATAATCGTACCTGCCGATCGGCTACCTGTGGTGAACCAATTTTATTCTACTGGGTGGAAAGAGGCTTGAGAAATGAGACACTAAATGTTGAAACCGGTTTTGAGTCGTGATTATTTTGTGTGATGTACCACCACCGTAGTCATCCAATGTACCACCACAGACTCGGGTATCCATCATAGCAAACAGCGATGTTGGATACTAGTCAACATCTGTACGCTATTCATACCACTGCGTACGTTTTGTTGTTGTTGCAGGTGTGCCATATAAACATCTCTCTGTCGTACTTGTGGGTTGTTACGGCGTAAAGTTAATCCCGTGTTGGGGTGGCAGAAATTGATTTGTGCTGTTATCTGGAACCGGCGTCACATTGCAATGTACCGCAAAGGTTTGTTTCACTGAGGCCGACTGCCATTTAGGTCTGGGATTGGTCTGTGGAAAAGACGACATTACCCAGAAGCCAAAAGACATCAGACAATGTTATTCAATTCTGCATCTACATATAGAAACAAAACTAACATCTGCCAGCGGTGTTCTTCAATGTAGCATATTTAGCTTGTCTGTAATTATGAGGACATATCCGTGCTACCGCTTTATAACTCCCCCGTTCAAACAATCAGCACTATACTTTAATCTGTGCTATACATTGAGTGCAGTTGATTTTTGTTTCGGGTTTTTTAGCTGCTCCAAAAACACACGATTCCAAAAAATCTTGGCGTCAATGGTTAACATATTAAATGCGCAGACAATATCTAAAAGAATGCACGGCTACGCTCTCCATATCTCTCCTCGGCCTTGTGTATACCACGGTTGTTGACCAGTGGATATCTATATCGGGTGCCGCGTTGGACGTGTTTGCCGTGGTTATCCATTATGTTGGCTCGCGGATGGGGTTAGAGAGCTCTGGGGGGCTCTCTCCGTCGCTGTCTTTCTCGACCTGGTGCTGAGGCCGAGGTGTTTCCCCTTGTGAGGAGCGAGCAAGCGGCAGAGAAAACCCAACTCGTCCCGTCAGAAAGCGACTTGAGAGAGCAGAGGAAGGGCATGGGGGTGTCCACCTCACCGTGAGTTCGTTATCGACGCTCGGCAAGTACACGAGAACGTGGCGATTGTATCAGAGCGCTTAACGGGTTTTCATCGTGAACTGAGTTGTAGCCGTCTTGCAGTGTGTGTTTCGTTCAGCCGATTCTCGGAATCAGCGCTCTTTAGCATGCCTGGCGCTATTTTGGCTATCAGGCATCCACCTACCTGTGAGAATGGCCGCATGGTAGCGCTATTGGCGCTTGTTTAAGAGGCGTTTAGGTTCGAGCTCAGCGGCCGCCCCGGTAAATACTTTGCAGTGGACCTCAAAGATCACCGTGACGTAATTAAAAAAAGCAGGGAATTCGTTTCATCATCGATCGCACAGCGATCCCACAAACTACGGGGGGGGGGGGGGGGGGTCAACCCTTCCTGTATCGACGAAATCGGTCCGTCTCAAACTTCGTATTGCCCAGCAGGCCCCAGCTGCTTCTGCTGCTGCTGCTGCTGCTGTCCACGCTGCTGGTGCCATGCGCACCGTCGGTCGTGGAGGAACATCACCTGTCCGCAATGCATGGCTCGCTGAGGTCGTCCGGCTACCCGAAGCCGTACCCGAACGAGGCCCGGCAGACGTGGCGCATCTCCGTGCCGTCCGGATACCGCGTGCGCCTGCACTTCACGTTTTTCGACGTGGAGACGTCGTTTGGCTGCGAGTACGACTACATCAAGGTCAGAGGTCACGGGGGTCGGCAGGTTCGCGGAGGGCGGGCGAGTTGAGGTGGCATTGTCGACGGCAGGCGGCCGATTACGAATGATGCGGGATGTAATTTACAAACAGAACCCTTGGTGGAGTTGTTTTTGTTGTCGTTGTTGTTGCATTTTTACATTAGCTCCGTGAAGATGGACCACTACGTTGTTGTGATTAGTTTGTTGTCCTTCCCCCGCACCTCCGAATCAGCATAGTTGGCTACGTACGGTGCGAAAGAACTTCAACACACGCACGTATGGTTTGAAGGCCTCATGAATGACCTTGTGGGTCATATTACGCCATGGTACGTGGGGTACTATGTATGGTGTAGTGGTCAACTGAGAGAAACTTTGAACAACCGTGTGACGGATCGAGTTTGAAATTACCCCAGCAAGAGCCTTATATACGTAAAATGATAAGGACATTGGGGATGTAGGTGAATTGTGAATTGGGAAATACAACTTATAATCTTACGTGGGGGGGGTGGGTATGGGTAAACCATGCAAAGGGGAAACTGGGTGTAGAAGTGAGGGAGAGGCCTCCGCCGATGGCTGAGACATCTCTCGCTCGGAACGAGATGAGATGTTTCAACCCGGCAGACGCCGGGGCAGCCAGGACTGTCGCCGACGATCGATCAAGTTCCGTGGCCCTGCATTGAGACGTTTTTTTTATTATTTTACACGCTTTTATTTAACTCACTCTGTCTGTTGTTGTCGTTGTTGTTGTTGTCGTATCCTCAAATCTTGTAACTCAATTTTAACCCACTTCCCAATGTGGTATCGACTGCAAACTTCGTATATGTATGTCTTACTGATGACAATACTATATTCTATCATGAAAACAATATATATTTTTAAACAATGTTTTTGGACGATTTTTATTAACTCATGCTGTCTTGTTGTTGTCGTATCCTCAAATCTTGTAACTCAATTTTAACCTACTTCCCATTGTGGTATCGACTGCAAACTTGGTATACTTATGTCATACTGATGACAAAACTATATTCTATCATTTAAACAAATATTTAACCATCTTTTTTATATGTTATGTTTCGGCTTGGGCCTAATTGTCCACACTCAACTGACGTTGGCTGTAATTGGCCACGGTCCCTTACGTTATGGCAAGCTTCGGGGCTACTTCCTGGATTTGTGGACTTCTGCCATTACTCGTACGGTACATTTCATTAAAGCGTGTTTTAAAAAAAGTATTTCTAAATATTACTTATTTTATTTATTGTCAATTCCGGTGGCCGTGACGTGACGAGGCCATGCCGGTTGCTCGCCGCGCGCGCAGGTGGAGGTGACCAATGAGATCCTGGGCCAGTTCTGCGGGCGACAAAACGGGAACACAGCACCCAAGGCCGAGCCCATGGTGACCCCGGGGAACGTGGTCGACATCACCTTCGTGTCGGACTTCTCCAACGACGAGCGCTACACGGGCTTCGAGGTCTACTTCACCGCCGTGGGTACGGCCGGCGCCACTCCTTTTTATTAAATCCTTAATATTAAGTTTGCTTGCTTGCGTGCTTGCTTGCTTACGACCATGCAAATCTTTCAGTCGTTTTTTAACACACTTCCCGTGATCCAATCGAGCTGACATTTTCCACACAGACAATTAATTTTCGTGAAAATTTTTGTTCCAAAATTTTACATTGTTTAGGGAAATTTTTTAAAATATTTAATTACCAATTGCTTAATGCTGTCAGACAATCATCTAACCCATAGGTGGCAGCCATCTCAAGCCAGAGGACGAGAGGACTCTAACCGCCACGCATATAAAGGATTTATAGTTAAAAACTTTGGTTTTACGGGTTAATTTTTTCCCGTGTTCGTTTTGGTGTGGAGGTGCGACGAGGCTTGCCGCATGGCCCTGGTCTGTGTTTTACCCTGTAAGCCTTCACCAGGGCATGAGAAATCCCGTGGCTTGTCAGTTGCGCAATAATGCACCACTCAAAGCAATGCAATAACACGTGATCCTCCCCTCTTATGGTATCGTGGGTATCTTCGTCTTCTTTCCATGGTATGTCTCAGTCGTTTGTAGCTCGGAGGTGGTGACTCTCAGGGCGAGAGGGCTCTTGACTCAGGTTTGAGGAGTGATGATAACTGAAAAATGTTTTGTTATTTAAAATTGCCAATATTCATACTCGTCATCATCAGCCATGGCAAATCCACTGCCGGATGAAGGCCCTTACCATCCCTCAATGGTCCCGTGAGGTAGCGGTCCATGCGGCTTCCTGCACACGAGCTGACTACGACCGCTCCATCTCTGTAGTCCTTCCCTCGTGACTGCCACTCCGGTGTTAGTCTCAGCCACCGTCCGTCACCCCTCCCTTCCAGCGCTGTTTCCAATCCAAGCACGACGGTGTTTTCAAAGCATGACACCACAACTCTATGGCACGCAGGTGGAAACAATTGCTGAAGGTTATCTCACGATTTCTTCCTCGAATATCCGTTGTCTAAAGGATTGTGTTGCACATTTGTCTTGTTTGCGTTATCATGACGTGTTAATAACCGGGTTGTGTATTTTGCAGATTGTCACGTTTGATAGGAAGCATACCCCCGTATTTTAATGTCTCGTGCCAACTCTGCGTCTCCTGAACCTGTAGGGCACGAGTCTGACCAGTGGCGATTCTGGCGTTGGATTCGCCACCCACCAAAATTGGTATTTTATTGATGGTCACCAAGGGACAAAAAAAAACTTCAATGTTTAAAATAAAAAAAATTATGTAGGGCCCTGTTTAAATAAGATTGGAATTTTGGGACCACGACCACCAACGCCGCCTTGGGAAGTTTCTAGGCCTGGCTCTGAGTCTGGCTGACTAATAGACAGGGTGTTTCAAAAAAAATATTAACACTTACATGGGACGATCGTTTTTAATGCAAAAAGAACGGCTAATTCACAATAACATAACAAATTCTAGATTTGAAGCTTTCGTGACTGCAAGGATTCGTACTCTTAGTTCTTTCGGTAAAGTCACGTAGGTAAAAAAATTAAATGAAAATTTATAAAAAAAATAAAATGTTCTTATTTTATTTTTTCTTAATTTTAATTTCATTTTTTACCTACGTGATAATGAAAAATAAAATAAGAATATTTTATTTTTTATTAATTTTAATTTCATTTTTGTACTTACGTGACTTTACCGAAAGAACTAAAAGTATGATAACAAATGTAATGTTAATAGCTTCAAAAAGTAAAAGAGTTTCCACTTGTTCGCCATCATTGTCAACGCATGCCTGGAATCTTCTCCAGGTGGTCTTCAGAGCCACACTTCTCATGGCATTGTTGCAAATTCTCAAAAGCGTTAAAACATTTTTCTGAAGCCCCCTGTGTAGCTGACTAAGCATATTCGCACGCCACTACGTCTGGTGTACTCTTGCCTTGAGCTCTGCCTCCCCCCCCACCGCTCTCCCCAGACATCGATGAGTGCGAGGAATACGCTCGCGTCGACGAGCTGGCGTGCGACCACAACTGCTTCAACTACCCCGGTGGTTACCAGTGCTCCTGCCAGTACGGCTACGTTCTGGCAGACGACAATCGCTCCTGCACAGGTGCCGGCTGCGAGTGCGATGGCCCAATGCGGTGATGTAAATGTCCCACACAGTCTGTTAAGGCTACACGGGGGTTCACGAAACGAACCACGAATGGCGCATCTCACCACGGACTGGGTTCGATCCCCGCTTACGACCATCATCAGGCAATTCGCCCGATGACGCCATTCTGGCGAATTGCCCGATGATGCTGGTTGCAATTACCAGCGAAACGTCGTACTCAAATTGTAAATGTTGTGGCTTCAACACACCGGTGGGCTAAAGCAGTGAACTATTTGTCTTTGTCAACGTGACACTTTTTTACTGATTGGCCGTGTCGGGTGGTGGAGGGTTACGACACATTTATAAATAAACGCGATCTAAACCCAAAAACGTTGATTATGAATAACATTGGTCGCGAAAGCCTACGTGTTAAACTGAGTGTCGGATAGTCTAACTGGTCCTGGGCCTCCCCTAGGTCGACTCAACCTCAAAATTTGTACCTGGTGCGGTGGGTAAACATCGCAGCTAGGGAGACATGCGGCGGGGCGTAGTGCTGGCCACCTTGTGTGCCGTGCCGGTCTAACACCATTCGTCAGTAACGCCGTGGCCTTAAAAAAAACGTAGATATATGATCGGTAACATTTCGAGCAATGGCCCTTCATGTGTTATGCAGAAGGAACGTTCGCTTCTCTTTCTTCTTGTTTCGTATGGCTGATGTCGCCAATTGCACAGGGTGGCCTCAAAAGTCGGGAGTCATCGGATAATTTCATTTATTTAAACACTGGCATCAAATAAAAAAAATTAGAATAGGTTTTACCCTTCATGGCAATAAAACAGGAGGCGTTAAGATGTTCAAACACCAAATAGATACATTTTTCAAGGACTCGAGTCTGCAGTAACCACACACGGTACTTCTGGTGAACATGCAAACTAACACCAGAGACAACCTTCTACTGGTAGGGACCTCCTGGTTACACCAGCCCACAGGGGATTATTGTGTCCGTCCGTCCGTCGTGCCGGGAGGGGTTGGGTGGAGAGGGTGGGGCTGGGTGGGGGGTAGAAGGGGTGGGGCTGGGTGGGGAGGGGCTGGTCACCCCGTGGTGCCCTTATAAAACTCAACGTTTAACCTACTCACGCTAGCTTGTGCCCGCCCTCACAGTCGGGCATATTTGCGGAATACACCACGCCGCCGTTGACCCTGGCCATTGACCGAGCAACCCAACGTTCCTACCAGCTCCCTCCGCAGGAATGTGTTTTATGGCGTTGTCTCACCAGCGTTAGACTTTAATTCTTCTGAGAGAGGGTGTTCCAAATCCAAGACTGCAACCCCTATAGCCCCCCGCGTTAGTCCGACCTTGCCCACGACTGCAAGTGTGGCAATCTGCACGTCTCCCCCCCCCGACCCACCCCATCCCACAGTGGAGTGCAGCAACCACGTGTTCACAGAGCGGCAGGGCGAGTTGTCAAGCCCCGACTTCCCCAGGCCCTACCCCAGGGCCTTGCAGTGCAAGTTCACGCTGCGTCTGGAGGAGGGCTTCGTGTTCAGCCTCGCCTTCCAGGAGCCCTTCGACGTGGAGACCCACAATGAGATCGACACCTGCCCCTACGACAGCCTGACGGTAGGTCAAAAGGTTAAACGCGCACCGCTGCGATTTATTCAATGATGACGGGCCACCGCGTCGGACGCGCTCCTGTGGCCGTCTGGAACGCTCTTTCGTCCGATATTAGGAAGCATCGCACTTTAAAATCGTCTAGATTGAAAACTCGTTTATTTGAAACTGCTTATTGTGTTTAGTTCGTTGTCCTTCTGCTGTACCCGCGTGTACGCGTGCTCAATGCGCATTCGTGATGGACTGGACTCATAAGAATGCGCAATATCAAATGTTCTTACTTCTCCAGCACCTCCGATTATTGCAGTTGGCTACATACGGTGCGAAAAAAGTTTAGCATACATGCATACGTCGGAAGTCCCTCGACTAGAAATACAGTATCTTGGCCAAACGTTTTAAAAACGGGGTGGGAATACTTTCTATTGACCCCGCCACGCACGTGACCCGCTGACGGAGTGACCGCGGTGTTACCCCACCCACGATGCGGAGTGGAGAGGGGCACGGGGATTTGTGCACCGTCGTTTCCAACCGCCGTGCCAGAAGTTCCCATCCGTCGATCGTGAGATCGCGATACTGACCTGGAGCTGACCTTGAGTCTCCCCTTGGCTGACACGAGCCTTGAATATATACCTGATGCGATGTTAAAATATCAGCACTGGGACGTACAAAGGTGGCCGGGTAGGGGGGGAGTTTATGGCCACATCTCCCCTTCGTACGCCATGCTCGTTTGTAGCTCTTGTATGTACGCATGTTGAACTTCTTTTGCACCGTACGGAGCCAACCGTGCTAATCGGAGGTGCGGGGAAAAAACAACAAACTAAACGGCAAAAAGCGTTTCGCAAGAAGTGCGTGTTCAATCTAGATTTAAAAGTGCATAGCTCCAGTGGCTTCCTAATATCCGAAGAAGAGCGTTCCAGACAGCCACTTAAGCGCATCTGAAAGCACGCGATGCGGTGACCGTCTTTGTTCGGCGGCTAGTCAAATGCCGCCGCTGTCAGGATGACCGGAGTTCACGTGATGATTTATGCTTCATGACGAGGTCAGTAAGGTATTGTGGTTCATTTGTGGCAAGCACTCTGTGTGTGTAATAAGTGCGACCATACAATGTATTCGTTCGGCAACCGGAAGCCAATGCAGATCGGCGAGCACTGGACGGACGTGGTCAGACATGGTCACTTGCCCCAACAGTATCCGGAGGCTATACAGTGGAAGCGTTGCCTTTGTCTGTGCTTGTTAACGTGCTTCCTGACAGATTCGCTCGGGCGGCGAGGAGTGGGGGCCGCTATGTGGGACGACCCTGCCCGACCCCATCGAGACCAGGGGCTTCGAGGTCGAGGTCGTCTTTCGCAGCGACACGTCTGGACAGAACAAGGGCTGGAACTTACACTACACTGCTAAGAGTGCGCGGCTGTTCGCATTGCCACGGTGCAAAGACGTTATTGGCAACACTTGGCAACTTAATTTTGTTTACTAATAGGGTTTTCCCCCTTTTTTCTGGCAACAAAAGTGACACCTTTTGCAAGGATGATGTAGCTGCTCACCCCGAGCTCTCATTACTCTGATAATGCGTTGTCTTTGATCTGTGCGCCTTTTGGCGTCATCTGGTCGAACACCATATGAGACTAGGCTCTAAAGAAAGCTGTCTCTGGTGTGGACCAATCAGTTTCAAGGACAATGCATAAATAATCAGAGTATTGTTTTTTGTTTGCATTTGACTGCAAGTATTGTGGTTAATGTAAGCATGATTCCTTGCAAAAGGTGTCAGTTTTGTTGCCAGAAAAAGGGGAAAAACCCTATTAGTAAATTTTGGTACTGGCAAAGGAGGTCCCATGATTTATTTTGTTTGTTAACCTGCGGCCACGCCACGGGGAAGGGGAGTAGAGTCAGCAATGCAATGCAGTGGAAAGAGAAAGATGCGAAAGGGACGAGAGAAGAGACCCGTTGGGAAATAGGAGAAGAGGGGACGGAGAAACGGGAGCGAAGGGTCATGGAGAAACGAGGAGAGGGGAGAAAGAGGCGGCATCAGGAGCCGTGACGCTTGCACGGAGGAGCGGAGTCTGTTTTCAGAGTGGGCGGCCGGGAGAGTGCGGTTGGCCACACGGAAGTCACGTGACTTACGGGAGGATTGAGCTGATTTAGATAAAGAGATATATCGATGCACGACTGCATTTCCGTGTTTTTCCGATTAGTCGAGTAATCGAACCAATAGTCGATAGAATACTCGATTAGCTAAATTATTGTATAAAAAAACAACAATGATGTGACTTATAATGCGCACAGCATTTCACGGCATATAAGTGACCAAGCCTCTAAGGGGCCGTTCATAAATGACGTCACGCACCTGGGGGGGGGGGGGTCAGACATTTGTGACGATGTGTGACGAGGGGGGGGGGTTGAGAAATGTGACGTCACATCAAAATGCGCAACTTTAAATAAATACAGACAACACGTTCTACTTAATTAAATATACTTTTTAATAAATGTTTTCTACAACATCAGAGTGCAGCGCCACATTAAATACGCACTACAATGACAATAGTTGAAAGCGATTTGAAGCATGTTTTATATTTTTTACGCGGCGGGGGGGGGGGGGGCAGAGCTTTGTGACGTCATATTTGAGGGGGGGGGTCTGACTTTTTGTGACGCCGTGTGACGAGGGGGGGGGCGGTCAAAAATCGTCCAAAATCGCGTAACGTCATTTATGGACGGCCCCTAAGGATAAATCAGCTCTGGTGACCATAGCCCCTCTTTCAGTCCATCAATCGCTGTGCGTGCGTGTGTCTCCCCGTGGGGAGCGGTGGTGTAGCGGTTAGCGCGCTGTGCCACGTTCCTGACGACCCGAGTTCGATTCCTGCTCACGGGCCGACACCAGTGACGATTATCTGAACCGGTCCTGGGCCTCTCCTAGGTCGACTCAGCCTCAATTGAGCACCTAGTCCGATGTGCCAAAAATATTGCCACTGGGGAGACAAAGGCGGCCGAGTCGTGGTACGGACCACCCACCCCCTTGTGTGTCGTTCCGGCCTTCATAGGTGCTCGCTAACAGCACTTGCCCCGACAGTCTGTTAAGGCTATACTGGGGGGGGGGTCTTTGCCTTTGTTTGTGTCTCCCAGGTCTTCCGTGCTCTCATGTGACGGCACCAGTGCATGGCTCCATCGAACCAGTGCAGGCCACTTACTCCTTCAAGGACAGGGTGGTGTTCTCATGCGACATCGGCTACAGGCTGATCCAGGTAAAGGGGTGGGGGGAGCAATTTTATTTGCCGCGTTTCTCCCGACAGCCGTTATCCACGTGTCCACTATCCGGTTCTCTGACCCACATATTAAATGTACCTCCCATCGAATGTTAAATCGTGGCAAGAGGCACCGGCTTGCACATCCGATGCGGCGAATGCCATTCGGCACGTAAGGTAAAGGTGCAGCAGCCCTGCAATTACTTGCTCATGCCACTGCTAAAACTAAAAAACTATTTTTAGTTATTTTACCAAGTAAGGCCACTGAGCTATAGTGCTTTTATTCAGAAGCGACTTGGCCACAAATGATAGCTCAATGAAGTGGCTTATCGCATGGAAATGTAGAGCGGCGACGCTCACAATAACGAGCGAAGCGCCGGGCAGCTAAAATACAGCGAGTTGGCACAGTAGGGGAGCACAGCTGCTGTGCATCTGCCGGTCATCTCAGTCAGTCAGCCCATGGCACCTGGGTCTGTCCCGTGACCTCCCGTCAGCGAGCCTTTGACACTTCACGTGGCCTCAAAGTGCACCTGGCCTGGCACAGGCGCCGTGGTGACATCACCGCTACTTAGTGGCGAATGACGGGTGTTGGTTTTCTGGCGGGGTAAATCGTGGGTGATTCACGCCTCTTCCAAGACGTCTGTGCCGGCGTGTAACCGTAAGGTCACGTGCCCTCTCGTGGTGTTCTCTCGAGGGCCTCTCTCGTGCTGCCCAGCAGTGACGTGCGCAAGCGATTGCAGGGCTGCACCTTCACGGTTTGTGATAATGAACTAGCTTCTTTACGATGCTGCTGCGGCTGACGACGACGAATTTGTGCAGCAGGAAGATGGCAAGGAGGTGCCAGCGGACTTTGCAAGTGGAATGTCAGAAAGACGGCACGTGGAGCAGGGAGCCCCCCACTTGTCGCAGTAAGCTTCACAATCACACGATCCGCGAAGGTTTTCAAACTGTAGTGGTGGAGGTGGTGGCTACGCCAGTATTTGAGCGCTCTGGAGGAAAGGGTTGGTAGCTCACACGAATGTTGTGAAACTCCCTTTCCACGGGCGTTGAGGTGTCATACCCTGGCTTGCCAGGAGATGGCCCATCTGTCCCTTCTGTATGGGATAGAGTGTTGCCCTCTCTCACACATTAGTGGTTTTTCTGGTTTCTTCCCACATGTGTTGACACCCATGAATTGGCTGAAATGTGTTTATATATATATAAAAGCTTGGGCAATTATTGATGTCGGCTCACTCCGCTCCTCTGATTAGCACGGCTGGCTACGTACGGTGCGAAAGAAGTTCTACATATATACAAAACCTGCCAATAAACCAACGATCATGCGTAAGCCTTTTTGGCCAAGGCGATGAGGTTACGTGAAATGTGTTCTTGCCTCCCCATGCATGTACTGTGTGCATGTTGAACTTCTTTCGCACTGTACGTAGCCAACCGTGCTCATCAGACGTCATCACGTGACAGAAGCGACGTCGTGTGCCAAAAGTAATAACTTCTGGCATGCCAAAAATATTGGGTCTGTTCCGTGACCTCCTGCCAGCGGGGGCCCTTTGACACTTCACGTGGCCTCCAGGTGCACCGAGCCTGGCACGAGGGCCGTGGCGACATCACCGCCACTTGATGGCGCAAACGGCGTTTGTTGCTGTGAAGGCAGAAGCGTTTGACGTTTTGCTGTACAAGTACTGCCCTCTGCCGACGGGGATATTCATCTGTGGCCGTGTTTCCATTCCAGTTGTCGACTGCGGGAAACCGGCCCAGCCCAACAAAGGCTTTTGCGATTCGCCAGACGTCACCACCTACAAGAGTGAAACAGATTGCGGATGCATCGATGCCTATCACTTTACCACGGAAATGAACGGTGAGGGTGTATGTTTGTTTCAATACGTTGTGTTGTTGTTGTTGTTGTGGCGAGATGTTAACTCCCTCGCCTCGTATACAGGAGGTCGGGGGTTCGATTCTAACCCTGACGACTGCTGTATATTTTGAGTTTGTGCGTCTCTCTCCCCGTGGTCGCGTGGATTTTTCTCCGGGTCCTCCGGGTTTTTCCCTCCACATTTAGAAAAAAGCGCTGAGAGTATTTGGCTGCGATGAATTTCCACGTGATAAGCCACTTCTTTGAGCTATCATTTGTGGTCAGGTCGCTTCTGAAAGAAGACGTTAACAACTCAGTGGGCGTTACCTGGAAAGATAAAAAAAACTTGTTTGATTTGTATATATTTATTAAGTGATTTGTTTACTTTAGCTATATTTTGCACTCCCATCGTGTTTTTGTATTGGTTGTTGTTGTAACAATCTGACCCCGTGCCCCTACTGGACATCTGTGAAAAAGAGCTTTATAGCTCACCGGATTTCTCCAGTATCAATAAATATTCTGATCACCGTGAAAATGTTTTTTCTTCTCCAGGTGTGTTCACCTGTAACGAGAGTGGGCACTGGACCGACCCTCGCAGTGGAGAGAAAGTCCCAAAGTGTGAACCCGGTGGGTGCATTTACATCAACAGAGCATGTCAACATGCACAGGCGCCAGATCCTCAGCGCCTGGCAGCTATCATCCGGCTCAGGTCTGTGGTTCCACAGCGATCGGTAGGACGCATTTCGCATGGACGATGTTGCTGGATAATAAAAAAAAAACCACGACGTTATTTTTTATTGTGGACATGCCGACGCTGCACATGTCCGCATTGTCTGATTATGTGAAATCATTGCTGTAACGATTGTCGGTTCAATCGCTCGACTAAATCGGATAACGTGACAGTGGTAGGGAGAAGAAGAGAAACACATTCCTGTGGAGGGAGCTGGTAGTAACGTTGGGTTGCTCGGTCAATGGCCAGGGTCAACGGCGGCGTGGTGTATTCCGCAAATATGCCCGACTGTGACGGCGGGCACAAGCCAGCGTGAGTATGTTAAACGTTGAGTTTTATAAGGGCACCACGGGGTGACCAGCCCTTCCCCACCCAGCCCCACCCCTCCCACCCCCCACCCAGCCCCACCCTCCCCACCCAGCCCCTCCCCACCCTCCCCACCCAGCCCCTCCGCAGCCTCTCCACCCAGCCCCAGCCAGCCCCTCCCCACCCAGCCCCACCCTCCCCACCCAGCCCCTCCCTGCACGACGGACGGACACAATAATCCCCTGTGGGCTGGTGTAACCAGGAGGTTCCTACCAGTATTATCATGTAGTGTCAGTTCCTACCATCAATCATGCACCTACGATTAGCGCGGTTGGCTACGTACGGTGCAAAAGACGTTCACCATATATGTACGGCTCTATAGTCGCTGCATTGCTCTATGAGGGCTTTCTCGTGCTGTGGGAGTAGTTGTAGTGTTATTTGGTTGTACTTCGCCACACTGGGCAATGCAAGGAACGGAGAAATGCAACACAAAAAAGGATTTAAAGCGTTTGTAACTGCAGTGATTCATATTCTTGGTTCTTTCGGTAAAGTCACTTTCGCGACCAATATTATAATAAAGGAGGGTTTTTTTTGGGGGGGGGGTTAGATCTTTATCATGGTAAAAGGGTGTCGCCGTCCGAGTCACTCCTCACCTGGAGCGGTCGGGAGGGCCTCCTTTTCCGCTGACCCACGTTACGTGTGTTGCAGTGTGCGGGGAGCCCAAGCACGTGATAATGGAGTTGTTGCGCATCGTCGGCGGCCGCTCTGCGAGACCGGGGAACTTCCCGTGGCAGGTGCTCGTGAAGTTCATGTCGGGAAGGATGCTCGGCGGCGGCGGCGCGCTGCTCGGGGACCGCTGGGTGCTCACGGCGGCGCACGTCGTGGCGGACTACGCCGCCAACGAAACCACCGTCATCCTGGGGTCCATGAAGAGGGTGTCGCTCAAAGACAACCCGTTGGGATCAACAGCAGCAGTATACCGTGGACAAGATAATCAGCCACCCTGGCTACGATCCATTATCGACGGGCTATGACAACGACATAGCGCTCATCCGGCTGGCCGGCGACGCCGTGACCATGACGGACAGCGTGAGGCCGATTTGCCTCCCGACGGTCGAGGGCGGCAGGGTGAACCCCAAGCTTTCGCCCAACGACGTGGCCTTCGTGTCGGGCTGGGGTCGCACGGCGGGCACCCTCGGCGCGAGGTTGGCGGACACCCTGCAGTACGTCGACCTGCCCGTCGTGCCGCAGGCCGAGTGCTGAGAGGGCCAACGCCGGCAAGTGGATCGCGGAGCTCAACGCGAACTCGACGGTCACGGAGAACATGTTCTGCGCCGGGTATTCCGAGGGCGGCAAGGACTCTTGCCAGGGCGACAGCGGCGGACCCATCGTCGTCGTCCAGGACAACAAGTGGTTCACGGTCGGCGTGGTGTCCTGGGGAATGGGATGCGCCAAGCCTGGCTTCTACGGCGTCTACACCCGCGTCGACAAGTACCTGGACTGGCTGCGCGACGAGATGGAGAAGAACGCCGTGAAGTCGGACTACTAGCGGGCCCCACGATCACGACGCGCGTTTGTCAGTGTCGTCGTGTTAATTACGTCCCGTGCATTTGCGGAGTGATACGTGGAATTTGATTATTCCACGCGGGCATGTGTGTTTCCCGATCCACGCGTTGCTCTTTCTGCGTCTCGGTTTAATTCACAGCACGCACCTCTCCGCGCTTTCATCATTCATGTGCATCACGATCTTCCCGCTGTTGCGTGAAGATCAGCGTTGTGTCTCTGACACGTGTATTATTCATGAGGATGATAATTATCGCTGCTGATACAGCACTTCCCATCTCGCGATGGCGCGCCATGGTACGGTGCCTTACAAATTGTCATTGTTATTATTAAGTTGTCCCAGAATGCTTTGCAATCGAAAAAGTGCGAAACGTGTAAGTCAATAACTGTGTATATCACTTTACGAAAGAATCAAAGAATAATTCCTGCAGTCACGAAAGCTCCAAAATTAAGAATCAATAACTGTGAATTCAAGCATCAATAATTGGCCATCACTCATCCACTGCTGGATTAAGACATCCCCCACGTCATCCATCATCACGGTCCGGCGATGTCGCAATTCATCTCCGGCGCACGAGCGGGAATTCTTTATTGCCTTGCAAGGTCAAACGTGAGTCGGATGCCCCCCCCCCCAGCACCCCCAGCGCCTTCACCAACCGTGGCCTCTGCCAGCCTAGGGCGACCCTTGCCACATAGCAGCAGAGCCGGTATCCGAACCCGCGTAGTCTCCTCGCAGCCCACGCGCATGAAGGCCTCCTGAGCGCTAAAGTTTGACGTCGAAAATAAAATCATTCCGTTGACAAGTGCGTGTTTGGAAAGCGTTCGTGCGCCGTCCATGCGTGCGCGCGATGTTTTTTTTGTTTTGTTTTCTTCTTCTTCCTCGGCGAACGCTGTTCCACGATACGACAGCAAGGGGCTTACATTGTGCCGTTCGGTGCTGCACTCAGCCGTAGTAATAACGTGCGTTTGGTGATGTCAAATTGCTTGCTGGATGAAGTCTCCCCACCCCCACCTCGGCCTGTCAGCCATGACAGTTGTTTGACCATACTTCGCCACACTCGTCAGTGTCTGGTTAAGTTAAGGGAGGGCGGGGGCTAGGAACAGTTCAGAAAGCAATCGGCTGCTCGCATCAGCCGTGGCCAAACTTGTGTCTGGCTTTCGGGGGTTTATTGCGTGCGGTGTACTAACCAGTGTGCCACCACTCCCATATTTTTTGCAGTGTCATAAATGTTCTGGCCGATCTAATGCCCGTGCAACTACTGGACACGCCGCGGGTTTAAAGCCATTCCGTAGCTACCAGCAGCAATTCGCAGTGAGCAGTCATAAATAAAACAACCACTAAAAGGTGTGAGAGAGAGATGAAAATGTAAAGGTGCTGCCCTGCGATTACCTCCTCACACCACTGCTGGTTCTGGAGCAGCAGTAGTTCTCAACATTGTTGTAGTTAAATTTCGATTTAAAGCTTTCGTGACTGCAGGGATTCACCTTCTTGGTTCTTTCGGTAATAAAAATAAAACATAATAAAATATTTTATTACGTTTTATTTTTATTATTTTATTTCATTCTTCCTACGTGACTTTACCGAAAGAACCAAGAAGATTGTTGTAGTTCTCGACATTGTTGTTGCTACTGCTGTTACACCCTTCCCCCTCCCCCCTTGTTGAATGTTGTTTCAATCGAGTGACCCAACATGGTTCTGAGAAATAAATGTACGAATAAATGAACGCGGATTTTTTTTTTTACCAATTTTTTTTTTCATTTCGTCAGGTATCCTAATTAGCTGAGTAACTGCAAGTGAATCAAAATAAACAAAATATAAATTTCAACGGAAGCTCTGCACGCGTGAAGTAATTCTATCACGCTCGCTGATTGATCTCAGAAACCCGCGTTGTTTACGATCCACCAGGTTAACGTATGGATTTAAAATGTATCGTAGTTATTTTATATTGACAGATTTTTCACCAATGACTCTCACGCACGATATTATTTCGTACGTTCATTAATCACCTCACGCCTACCTCCCTCGGTTGAGAACCACTGCTCTGGAAGGCCCCCTCTCCCATGCCAGTATTTATTCAAATATAACAATAGGTTTTACCGTTGCTGGCAATGAAACAGTTGTGTCAAGATGTCAAACACCAAACAGAATCCTTATCCAAGGAATCCTGTCTGCATTAACCACACATAGTAATTGTTGTGAACATGCAAACAAATAAAAAAAATCTCTGATTATTCTATATGATGCATTGTCAAAGCTGTCTCTGGTGTGGACCAATCAGTTTCAAAGACAATGCATCAATTTATTATCAGAGCATTTTTTATTTGTTTGCATGTTCACCACAAGTATGTGTGGTGAATGCAGACAGGATTCCTTGATTAAGGATTCCTGTTTGGTGTTTAAACATCTTGACACAACTGTTTTATTGCCAGCAAGGATACAACCATATTGTTATATACTGGCTACGTGTCTTAAAAGAGGCGGGCGTGCCCACACTCCACCTCCTGGTCGACTAACTGTGGCGTGCTCATTCGGCTGCTTGTTGGACAGAGGCGGTGATGATTCAAGGATCTATTCCCGCTGCCAGGCCGGGAAATCAAACTTGACAACCTATGGATTGCATGTCCAGTATGCTAAGCATTGCACCACGTCAGCTTAACGGTATACATATGTTCACGGGCAGTTTAGGGGGAAATTGCGTACGCCTGTGCACGCATTCCCTGGTAGGCGAATAGCTTTTAAAGCCTGAAGTATGGCCATAATAACTTGAAATTTAGCAATTTCAATTTCTTATATTTGCCCTTTGTTCGTGCTTTTGCGTGAATTGTTTGTGTTGTTATGCCCAGGCTTTCTTGCCGTCGAGTGGATGATTGTTGATTTTCATTTCGTCTCAAAGTGAATTACGTGTTGGTGATGAATGCAAGTGGCACTTTTTGCAGATGACGCGCACATTTGTGTACGTGGGATTGGAGTGGTGGTGGGGGGGGAGGAGAAGTTTGCAGAAATTTAGCAAAACAGCGGGAAGCGAGCAAATAGCTTTCGGAAAAGCGAATGGCCATCATGCACATTTTAAATAGCATGCGCGTGGTGCGTAAGTGGCAAGTCCGGGTCACGTGACGTGGCGACACTGCAATACATGTACGATGTAAACAAGCACAACATCGCGATTATTATTGTTACTCATTTTACCTCGTGAAATGGTCCGTCATGACAAAATATTACGAAATAATAAAGTCAAGAACTTATTTTTTTTTTACACGTGTAGGCTTTCGCGAACAATATTACGATGAATCACAATTGAATTTTGGGTCAGATCGCGTGAGTCAAATGTTGTGTCGTACATCCTCTACCACCTGACACAGCCAATTAATAAAGTTGTCACGTGATGAACAATCAAGCCAATTTATGACTGCTTCAGTAGCACCTGCGGCAATGTTGGAGAGGGATCCAAAAACATCCAACAATTGATTACGGATGTTTTCGCGGATAATCACAACCAGCATCATCAGGCAATCATGATTTGAAGTTTTCATGACTGCAGGAATCCATACTCTTTGGTTCTTTTGGTAAAGTCACGTAGGTATAAAATAAAATAAATCACGACGTTTCGGGCACAACACAAGCGTCCATAAAAAAAAGTTTTCCGAAATCCTAAACAAACACAAGATCCAGGTTCGTTTCAATACAGTACACAAAATCCGTAATTTACTCTCATCTGTAAAAGATGTGATTCCTCACATGCAATACCCTGGTGTCTACAAACTGAGCTGTGGTTGCGGCAGCAGTTACATTGGGGAAACGAAACGACATGTCTCGGACCGCGTCCGTGAACACAAGGCAGATCTGAAACACGGTAGGACCAATACCTCTGACGTTGCTGATTATTGTTTTAACGCTGTAGGCTCACACGAAATTGATTTTTCCAAGACGGAGGTACTCTGCAAACCTACCGGCTACCTTCAGAGATTTGTTCATGAAGCCATCCAGATGTATCAACACAGACACAACTTCAACCGAGAGGATGGGTGCAAACTGAGCAATCATTGGAAGGACGTTATTAAGCAGGTAAAGTCTTAACTGACTGATGTTTCCATTCCAAAATGCCTATGTCAGCTGTTATTTCGACTCTCTGTGTCTCTCTCTCTCTATGCCTCTAGTGTGATGGGCAGCATCTGCGTTATAAATTTCATATATCGTAACGATCATAAAGACTCGAGGCAGATTTACTCTGAGCGAACTGCATTTTGAAGAACTCTCAAACAAGTCTTTACTTTTTTGTTTACAGCAAAGCGTACAAACCTATACAATAAATAATGCCAATCGCAGTTACTAAACAAGCTACGGTAAATATTGCGACGATCGTCAAATCGTGAGGCATCACGATGTACGATGGAGAAGCCTACGCTCACATCGGCGAGTGTGGTCTAAACATCACCAACAAAATCCCTGAACAGCCAGGGCCACGAGCCGGAACGTCGCCAATTTAGCGTCGTCATTTTCCGGAATACGGCGCTATCGACGGACGGCAGTTGAGATTCGTGTTTGCTAAGTTAGCATCGATCTGGGAGGTCTCGGACTCTCTGCGCTCGTTATCTCTGCCACTGGACGCAGTTCAAGTGCCGCCCACCCGCTCGCCCGTCCGATCGCTGGCCACTCGCACTAGCCATTCGGAGCCTGCCAGGGAACCTTTCCCCGACAGTGACGCTGGTTGTTTCGAATGAACGAGCAAACGAATGTCCAAAACAGCGCCACGTTCGACGGCAGTTAACGCAGGAGCTCACTGTGACTCGTGTAAGGGAGAGATCTATGGGAAGGTCTGTAAATGGTTCAAAGGGGTCATTGGAAATAAAAAAATATTGAGAAATGTAGAGGCCAACCAATTCTATGAAGAAATCGGCTTTAGGAAAGGTTTATCTACCATCAATTTGTTTCACAAATTGAAACACGGTAGGACAAACACCTCAGCCGTGGCAGATCACTGTTACAACTCAGTGGGCTCACATGACATTGACTTCTCCAAGACAGAGGTTCTCTGCAAGCCATCTGGCTATCATGAGAGATTCGTTCATGAGGCGATCCACATATACAAACACAGAGACAATTTTAACCGAGAAGATGGATTCTGGCTTAGCAATCATTGGAAGGACGTAATAAACCATTTCGGATCTTAACTGATTGTGTTCACGTTTACGGTGACTTTCAGACCGCGTTCCACTCACTGGCATGGTGCAGTGTGCAGAGTAATGTATGGTGTCGTAATTGTATAGTAAATATATAGCAGTGTGATACACATTAAGGTGGGTAGAATAATACATAGTGTTATATTAAAAATGGATAAGGCAGCAACTGCAGCAGCAGCAGCAACTGCAGCAGCAGCAGCAGCAACTACAGCAGCAGTAGCAGCAACAGCAGCAGCAGAAACTACAGCAGCAGCAGCAACTGCAGCAGCAGCAGCAACTGCAGCAGCAGCAACTGCAGCAGCAGCAGCAACTGCAGCAGCAGCAGCAACTGTAGCTCCCTTTGATGCTGTTAATCCTGCATAATGCACATGCATATGCAGTACCAATCACATTCCTGCATTTCCCATGAATATGCTAAATTCATCTTGATATGCAAATTCCTTTGTCAATGCGCCCAGCTTATATATATGCTCCAAGCTCGTGTGCTGTTTCATTCAGACTCTGTCGCCTCGACGGACCTGGTTTTCACCTGAGGACGGCTGCTTGCGTTGTGGCCGAAACGTCGTGAGAATTATTTTATTATGTTTTATTTTTATTATTTTATTACTTCCCTTCTACGTGACTTTACCGAAAGAACCAAGAAGATCAATTTGTTTGTGTGTTTAGTTTGTTGTCTTTCCCCGCACCTCCGATTAGCGACATACGGTGCGAAAGAAGTTCAACATACATACAATCAATCCGATTCTGGAAAAGACTCAATAATATCAAAGCCCATTATGCCTAGCCTTTGCAGACTATGACAACACACTTCCCTTGGTGGAATGTGAAATGTTTATTTAGTATTTATTTAGTAATAATAACAAACACATTCACCTTTCTGTCCACGCTCTATGCATTTCTTTTTGTCATTAATATTATTTAAAAAATGGTTAACATATTAAAATTTTACATTTATGAGTTCAAGTTCCACTATCAGTAGCCTGGTGGCCTTGTTTGTGTGTGTGTGTGTATGTCCCCATCTGAGGTGGCTTGTGTTTATATCGCTAGGGCACTGTGGATTCTGAGTGTTTGCTGTAGGTTAATCAGTAGGTCAGTGCCGCATGTTTCAGTGCGCTCCGGGTACCATCTCCTGGTGCTGGGGGCGAAACTGCTCCCGCACTCTGCGAGGGCAGCGTACGGGGAGCCGGGACAAGAAAATATCCCATCGGAGCGGCAGAGAGGACCGTACCGGCGGCAAGGAACATGTGGCCGTTGTGAGTTCTTCCCAATCGCCTACGCGCAGGTCTTCGTCAATCCCCTGGGGGTCTTTTGGGGACAGGGGGGGGGACTGTTTGTTGCGGTTGCACCCGATTCAAGAGCCGAATGGCTCACAGGGCTATACCTAATAAATGAACTTGAACTGTTGCTGCCTCGGTGATATCGCTGCCCCCCGAGTTTAGTTCTCCGCTGCTTCTTCTCCACGTCTGTCTCCACTCCTTCTTGGCGCCACTTATGCGCGCGGCGGCCACCGCATCTTCTTGAGCTGTCCACCCAGAGTCAGAATATGTATGCTGGAGGAATCCGATGAGCTATGAAGCTCTTTTCCACGGATGTCCAGTCGAGGGTGGGTACTCCTCCTCCCAGCGCCTTAACATTGGCGCTTTCTAAGAATTCGCTTTAATCATTTTAAATGTATTATGGCCAGGAATTTCACACGAGTGCATATATGGCAATTAATGTACCGTGCAGTTGGTATCACATCAGAGTAAGTCGCCCAGTGTCATCTGTAAAATGTTAACATTGCATATGTCGCACACGTTTAAATTGAATGTGAGTAGGTGACGGTGGTTGTGTATCATCTAGGATCCCTTGAGGTCGAGTATGATGCTCCTCCATGGACACCGATGATGGTCAGGGTTGGTGGACAGCGATGATGGTCAGGGTTTGTAGGTACACAGGATGAGGCCATTCTTGGAATCACATGTCCTGTTGTGTATTTTGACGAGTTGAATATGAATATAAAAAAATGTTAATTAATGAAAACGTATTATTGTACAGAATACGTAACATCATATAACATCGCCGCTTTATGATGCATCAATCCAGCAGTGGATTGATAATGGCTGATTGATGGTAACATTAATTGTGTATCCATTCACGTCTAATCTACGACTGTACACTTCTCTACACAAGCACAATTAGTGACCGTGCCTTCCGTTGTAACGCTCCGATGGTTCCTCCGTACGGATCACTCTGACGTTGTCGTCCTCGTTCTGTGCTGATGGCACCACGGATCTCCCTTGCAAGCTAGCTGGGTAACTGGCTACACGGGGGCTTTTTTCCGTGCAACAAAGGAAGGCTGGTTGACTGATGATTGATTCTGTCGCGCCGCTGCCTCCAAGCGCCTCTGTTCTCTCAATTAGCTGCGATACTTCTGAGTTTTTCCTAACCCTTGGCCAATTGGCTAACCATTTAATCTGATGTACACCGCCCAGAGCAGTGTTTCGTGGACCCCTAGGGGTACGTGCCAGTGTCCCAGGGGGTGGCGAGGTGATTTATACCATGTGCCTCAGACTGTCACATTCATCGTGCTCAGTATGATTACATTATTGACGTTCGTTATTCATACATTTATTTCTCAGAACTGTGTTTGGTCACACGAGGGGCAAACAGTCGCCAACAAATGTTGAGAATCACTGGCCAAGAGTGCTTTGTAAAACAAATACTTCACGCACATGTAATGTAGACACTGTCTTGTTCAAGTATATATATTTGTTTATTGCGGTCCGCCCCACTCGATGGCATGTTAACGGGTAGACGCGAGTTGACGATGCACAGTGGGTGACTTCATGTAACTGCGACACGACGTTCACCTATATAGCTGGCTGACTATATAGGAGCCGATGGAGTAGCAGCTACGGCGATTATATATAATCTCCCCCGAGTCTTCCAAGACGATAAGGCGACCCGCTCCCAGACGATGAGGACGATCCACTCCAAGATGACGACAGCAATCGACGGTCCTAACTTCGATTCCC